GCGACTTGGCGAGCGACGAGACAAGCAACGGGGACCCGCTTCGCTGTTGCTCGGTCGGTCGCGCGAGGAGGCGAACCGCATGAAACCGATGGCGGCAAGCGGCCAAAACGGCGAGCGACGTTTTCTAGAAGAATGAAGCTAAACGCACTACGTCGTGCACCTCGATCGGAAATGACTATACGCACTACTCAGAGTGCTCATGCCATCAGGCCATTCGGGTCACCCTTTTCGGACGGGGCGTGTATCACTGGTGAACTCGTTAACTCAACCCCCCCCCCCCCCCCCCCCGGCCTGTGTTCACACCGCTTCGCGGCGACGGTATGCGGCTGCTAATTGCAAAACTTAACCTGTACACGCCGCTTCGCGGCGTTTAGCCGGCAACCCAAGCCCCGCTGTCCCCGATTGCCCCTCCGAAAAGGGAGTCCCATACCATTTACTTCTGCAAAACTTCGTGGACAGCATTCCTTTTTTTTTTTTTAGTGTTATCGTAATAAAGAAATGCCGTAAATATCGCCAAATGCCCGATAAAACAAAAAGAGTAAAGCTATACGCACTCTGTAGTACACTTCGGCTGGAAATGGCTATACGCACTACGCGAAACTCGTATAAAACGAATAGTTTCAACCAGGTTTCAGAGCGGTGGCATTGCATAGTGGTGAGGTGTCTGCTTCAGACGCGAGTGGACAAGGGTTCGATCCGTGATGAGCCTAAATCTTTTCTTTATTCTTCTCGGGCATTTTGTTTTGTCGAGGCATCTGGCAATATTTACATTTCTTTTTTTACAATAAACACTGAAAAAAAAAAAAAAAACGAATGTTGTCGACGAAACTTAGCAGAACTAAATGGTATGGAACTCCTTTTCGGTAGGTGCGATCGGGAACAGCGGGGCTTGGGTTGCCGGCTGGACGCCGCGAAGCGGCGTGTGCTAGTTAAGTTTTGTAATTAGCAGCCGCACACTGTCGCCGCGAAGTGGCGCGAACGCAGGCGAGGGTGGGGGGGGGGGGGGGGGTATTAACGAGCTCCCCAGTGATACACGCGCCGTTCGATAAGGATGACCCAAGCGGCTGAGCTCTCCGCGTAGTGGGTATAGCCAGTTCCGGCCGAAGTGCACTACGTAGTGCGTATAGCTTTACTAAAAAATTTCTAAAAAAAAAAAAGAAACTTTGCTCGCATTGGGAATTAAACCGTAGACCGCTGAGTGTAAAGGAGACACCTTACCACCATGCTTTGCCACCCCTTTGGAAACTCGCTGTAACCATTCGTATTACACGAGCCAGCGCCGAGGCGCTGATAGGAGCTTCGCGTAGTGCGTATAGCCATTTCCAGTTGAGGTGCTCGACGTAGTGCGTATAGCTTTACACTTTCGAGTAATCCAAGAACCGGACGACGCGACGGGCGACAGTGACAAATCTCCGTCGCTCGTCGCAGACTGTCGTCGTTGTCGCCGTCGCTCGTCTCGTCGCTCGCTAAATCGCTTACATGCGGTGCGGATTTCATTGTCGGACTTGGAAATAGTCGACAGACAGCATGCTCCCTTACCACTTTCCGTCGCTTGTCAAGGGGTTCGCTGCGCTCGTCAAATTTCCGCTTCTTTGACAAAAAACTGGGCAAAACACCTGGTTTGAGTCTTACGTTCCAGCCCACGGACTCCATCATCGTAGTCCTCATCACGAAAGTGATCGGAACACAAGCGATCACTCGTGATTCGAAGCCACGTCGGGAAGGACGGTCGTACGAGCCGGATCCAAAGCGCACGAAGTTGTTCGTCCTTTGGTAACTGGTGAATAGGTTTTCCACAACGAATGTTGCGGAAACCTGTATGTGAATGATATTGTAGACGTAAACCCAGATATTAAATATATAATCGATGCTGACGACACGAGCTTATTTTTTTCAAGCAACTGCTGCGACGAATTAGCAATTAAAGCAAATAAAACTCTCAAGGACCTAGTTACCTCGAGTGGTTATAATTCTCTAAAAATTAATGAGAGCAAAACAAAAGCCTTTTTTTTTTTCGTCTAACAAACAAGAACGACAATATTACCAGCGATATTATCCTAAATTCAGAAATAATAGAAGTTATTTCTAGTTTTAAAACGCTTGGTGTCATGTTCACAGATCGAATGAGAAAGGACGAGCATGTGAATTATGCATTGGTAAACCTGTCACGCGTTGTTGGCGCGATATACCGTCACCACCATATTTTGCCAAAACATGTGAAATTACAAGTTTATAGTTCATTATTTCTTCCCCATGTGAATTATTGCCATCTAGTCTGGGGAAATACAACAAATGCTAACTTAAATAAAATACTTTTCCTTCAAAAAACGTTTTTACGAAACATTTTTAATGTTCCATATGACCATCCTTGTGCGCCTTTTTTGAAGAGCCTGAGTCCGAAGCCAGTGATGTGTCTCTATCAATATCGACTGTGTATAAACTATAAGTCACATTAGAAAAAAATGCTCGTAAATTTCTGGAACTCGCGTCCTTAACACCAAGAGTGACCGCATATCCCACCCGTAACACGGAGTACAGGATGCTACAATATTACAAAACAACATATGGCGAGCAAATGACCTAGGCTACTCAACTTACTTCACACCGAAAACATCCAACTTCTTACCATGTCATGTAAAGACATTCGAGCATTCTTTTCTTCTAATATGACTGTGTAGCAAATGTATGATATTTGCCTTTTAGAGAATACTACCATAAATGTTTTGCCTTACTTTGTTTATTGAACTGTGCTTTGCGCGTATATACTATTTTTCTGTGAATACTCTTTTACGTGAATTTTTGTCTTTTTGTTTTGTTTTCTGTGCCACTGCTGCCAAATGTAAAGATGGGGGGCCGAGGGCTTCTCAACCTGCATCATGCAGCTTTTTTTGTCGCTCTCCCTCCGTAATACACTTTTGACGGAAAATAAAACATATTATAATTATTAATCAGGAGGTTGCCGCTGTCCTCTACCGCACAGTTCCGCACCACCTCGGCATTAGAACGCGACAGGATGACCTAAGCGTTCCAGAGACTGAGGCACGCAAGCGATCGGGCCACCGCAACTCAACGCAACGAGTCCATCGTCGCCATCGTCGCGAAGGCGGCGAAGGCTTCATAATCGAGTTCAGAACTAGAGGACAGGCATAGTGAGCCGTACTTCCGCAGAGCGGTGCTTCTCCGTTCGTCTAGGCGAGACAATCTACGTCACTTCCTGGCAATGTACCTAGACGGACATTCCAAACGAGGCGTTCACGACAAACATTAGGTGCTGCTTGGGAATCGTTTAATTCGTTCTAAAATTTGTTTTCGTGTTTTTTTTTTAACATGATGTTGGTGTGTACATTGTGACACTGCTCCCTCCGACACGTATTGACCAAGAAACAAGCGCCAAAATTTCGTTGAAGAATTCCTTTATTTGATCCTTGAAATTTCTAGGAGGGATTAGAGGGGGGGGGGGGGGGGGGCGGACAGCATATAAGTATGTTTACTTCAGAGACTGTTGTTTTGTTTCTGGGTCTCACTGGTCAATCTACGTCTCATCCTCAGTCACGAGGGGGGCGGGAAGGGGGGGGGGGGCGAGAGAAAATCTCGGGCGCCTTCATGGAGGCTCACAAGTTTCATCCATGAATGCAGTAAGGTGGTGTCGATCTTGCATAACGAAGTTCCGTGGCACCTATCGTGCCCGAACTTTCGACACACTCAATATGTTATCCATTATGGTAAGTACACTGTCATACGATCACTTCAAACTTTTGACACCCTTATTCGTCGACTCTTCATGATCAGTCTCGCATCTCGGGTTGAATGATCCAAATAGGTAGGAATGCTTGAACACCCTGACATCCTAACCTTGGGTTGACTTCCACTTCCACACGGCCGCGTTTAAACTCGATGAACCAACGACTTACTATTGAGTATGAAGGGCATTCCCTCCATACACATTTACAATTTTATCGGGAGTTCTTGTTAGAACCTTGTTTGTGCAAAACCTTTATTACTCTCCGGTACTCAAATTTTAAATCGTTGAAGAACGCCATGTTTAACTGACTGATGCATACTAAGGAATGAACCGGAAGGCTTGATATTGCGAGAATTTTGGGGCAGGTAGGTGAGCGAACCAGAGATTTATAAAGATATCACTGTAAAACGTTTGCTCACAGCCGGGTTGCAAAACTTACGTATCCCACCTCGTATCCAGGAAACGACGTTAATTTAGTAGCATGATAAACAGCTTGAAATGTCTCCCGCATACAACCGCTTCCGTGCAAATCTATGAGAAATTTGAAAACTACCGAATGGTTGCCGAAAAATCTCAGGGAAGGGCCGGATATACGGATAAGGCCTGGGCGAAGTGCCGGGGAGGATGTGTGTGTGTGTGTGTGTGTGGGGGGGGGGGGGGTTGGGGGAGGGAGCGGTGGGAGTGGAATTTCGCTGGGGGGAGGAAGGTGCCTGCAGAAAGATTTTACGGTGCAGATGGATGTGACATCGCAGGCGAAGCGTTGCCAAGATCTATTTCTTGAAGGGCTTAAGAGGAGGGGGGGGGGGGGCAGTAATCCCCCCCTTAATATCGCTCCTGTTTTAAGGGCAATAAAAATGTTCCTTGCGGCCAATGAGAAAAAAACAATAAGAAACCAAAAAACGAAAATTATTTTTAATAAATAAATCCTCCTTACCTTCGGGATTCCATGGAAGCATGACAAACTTTTACTTTCGATTAGGAATCGCATAATATTGTCTGTGCAACGTTGCACAGCACCTTATAAATGAAAAAAAAACTATTTTGGAATGCAGGGATATTTTTTTAAGTGAAGGTCGGAAGACAATGAGTTGCAGATAAACTAAGACCTTTTCTGGGGGCTTACTTTCTTAACCGAAAATGCAGAGTCTGTTCAAAAGTAACCGACAGTATCTACGGAGAACCAATAAACAAAGCATAGAGGCTATATGGCTCATACATGAACCTTGACGAAGCTGTTCTAAAGTCATCAAATAAGTCATAAGTTGATTATTTTATTTAGATAATGCACAAAAACGCCGTCAAAATATTGATCGTCATGATAGGTACCGTAAGACCAGCTTGTGCTCGGAATGGGTGGATGACTCTTGAAGCACTGCCACGAGAGGGATTAATTTAATTCACTAAGAGCTTGCTGAAACGCATTTTCGACCACAGGTGTTATTCCTTGGACCCATTGAATTCTAAGGAGTCCCGATAGCATAAATCCCAGCGCATAAGCAATCACAGACACAGTATCTCCACCGCCACTCAATCCCAAGGTCAAGTCTTCTAGAACCACCGGCATTACATTCTTGATTCTATATTCAGTGCCGGCATCTGTCTTCCTTGTCACGAGCTCTCCCTCGAACCTGACAAGGTCAGCGTTAAAGAATATGGTGCCATTGTGTCCCGAACAAAGCCTCCAGGGGATGTGCATGCGCAATTGGTGCTTGTAACTGACGCTGAACACAGTGATTGTGTCCGTTCCGCGGCAAAACGTCTTGTAGGGTCTGTCTTGCTCGACGCGGTCGAGGCTGTAGAGAGTTCCCTCTCCCAAAAAGATGGCGCGAGGCAGTATTTCCACTTTTGTCTTGTTGGTAAAGTGATGCTTTGGGAGATTCCGGATTAGTTTGTTTAGCTTTTCTTCCAGCTGAGCTTTGTCGGGGACGTCGCAATGCTCTGTAGGTAAAAAAGAACAACGATCTTAGAACTTAAGCCGCTGTCCAAAAAACATTCTCTAAAATGTTTTATCCGTCTGCTTCGCCGCAAAGCACTCGAGAGATCCATCCAATCGATGAAATGCAGAAACTGAAGAGGCTGATATTATAACTCGACCCGAAAAAAAGGTAGGTCTGTGCCGAAAACACAGACAAGACACTTTTTTTTTAAGTCTAGACAAAACACCGCATCTCGCGACGAAGACGTCAGCGTTCGCGATGAGGCGCCATGGCGTAGGCTACATGGCAGAGGAAGGGAGTGATGGTCGGGCGCGGCAAAAACAATCCTGGTTTGGCGGTGGATAAGTTTGTTAAAACACAAGTATATATATATACATAGCGTAACATAGAATTATGTTAATATTACTTTTTTCTCATTACAAGATAAAATTCAATTGAAGGTACGGCTGACCCGTGTATTATATATATTGCTCAGTCCGACGTAATAAGATCAGAAAACATATATCGACCACTATGTTAAATGTCACTATAGGAAATATTTAGCAATCAGTTTCTCTCAATAAAGCTAAATTTTAACTGATACGCATTTTAAAGTATCGCACCGAAAGAAATTTGTAGAAGTATAAGATATAGCTGTACCTGATTTTGGAAAATCCTCAGTTAAAACCAGGTTGAAACAAAGTACCGTCAGGAAGGTCACAAGGAATGCCATTGTCGTTCACAACCTTGCTGTAAAAAATCGCATGATAATTACACATTTTTACACTCATTCCCACGATCCTTGTAGAAAGTTGCACATCAAGCAATAAAAAGTGCATATCAATCAATAAAATTAAGTTATATCTTATCGAACTACCCAGCCCTCCTCAATATTTTAGTGCGCTCAATCAATCTTGAAATATACTAACATTTATTTTACGCTCTTCTCTTTTTCTTACATTGTTAAATAATTGTAAAAGCGACAATGTGGGTGAGTTGGTACGTACTCATAAAAGAAAGTAAACAGCTCGCGCAGAAAGAAGACATGATAAGGAACAAAAAGGTATACGCGCTGACTCAAATAAACACTTGAACATAAATAAATGTTGAGTTGGGAGCCACAGCTTGTCTTATTTTCTTCCCTATGCTTTGTCTTCGGTTTTGTGAGCTGTTCCTTTTTTATATTAAAGATAATTTGTACTGCACAAGTCTAAAAGGTACACACATTGCATCCACCGAGTCCCACGGAACATAAACAACAAAGAGCGAATCTTCTACCAACATTTAGTTTAGCGCTGAACAATTGATCAATTCACCATCCGAATAATGGATTCATGTTTTGCGCGGGAGGTATTTGAATTTAACCAAAGTAAGCGTAGGAAGAAAATGGGGTTTGGGGAGGGGGGGAGGAGGGAAGGGAGTGGTTGTTATTATTGTTTTCTGCAAAACAAAAACACCAGCGAAAGAGCTCTTTTTTTTTGGGAATACACCCACGAAACGCTTTGCCTCCGCTGCTGCACTAATTGTATTTAAGCGTCATTAGACCGTACATAAGCGCACATAGTAGTAAATGCCCAGTTGGAAGATACGCATTGAGCCATTTATCACACTGCAATAGAAATCAGCAAAATCAAGAAATGCAAATTCGTTATTTCAACCTACACTAATAATCATAATAATCGACTAAATAAAGGACATTAATCGGGTCAAAACGTTTAGACGGTGCCCAGCCCTAGTTTAGCATAAATATCAATACAGAATCATGTATGCCGATTTGAAGGATAAAATAGTATAAAAATGTATGCCTTACCTGGATTGAAATATCCCTTGAGCGTCCGGAGCTTCGAAGAGGTCTGATCACATGCGACCAGCGTCGAATGATGAAGCTGTAGGCTGCCTGCACATTATACACGGGTTTCCCGCGCCGTAAATATTGTCATTTGCCACTACAGAAAATGGGAGTGCCCTTGAAGCTACATCCTGTCACCCGCCAATAGCTGCTTAGGTTTCTAAACACGCTCCTCTTCGTGCGTGCATGTGTATGCTCGCCCTCTTCCTGCGATTCGGCATCGAATCTTGGCGGCTTGCTGCAGGCGCGGCGAATGAGCTGGTGTCCTTCCGACCATTCCGCAAAGTGTTATTAACGTACATGGCGTGCAACGCGGTAACGATAAGCTATTAAGTGGGTATTTGAGAGGTAGTTAGCTTTGCTGGGCGTGCTCCGGCGCATTAGAAATACAATTGGACAGTGTATAGCAGAATCCCCTTGCACCCTCTGTCACTCTCTGGTCCAGTCTTGCGGAAATTGCAGGCACAAAATGGCAAGAATCGCCGCGGAAAACTTGAACGTGGGCTCATTTTTCTCCATGGTAATGTACCCCTTCATATATCGGTGTCTTCATGCAGTAGAATAGCGAATCTGACTTCGAAGGGCCAGCAAATCTACCTACTCGCCGGATTCGGTACCGTCAACACTTCACCGGTTATCTGCGTTCAAACCGCAACTGAAAGGCATAATTTCTACAGTGCCGACGCCGTCATGGAAGCCCTGCGTGAGTGGTGTGAGGATCAAGACAAAATCGTTTTTTCTTGAGGGTCTTGCACCACTGGAAAGGTGCTAAGAGAAGTACATCATATCTAATGGGGACAACGCAGAGGAGTCCTTAAGTGTCTTTCTCCTGGGACACGTCTTCCACTGGAAAGCGCACCACTTCTCGAACATCCCACGTAATGTTCCCAGAGTAACGCATTCCGTATCGTCCGCTTTTGCTTGATGGTCTGGTGAAGCTATCTCTTTTTTCCTTTTTAAAAAGGGGGGGGGGGGGGGGGAATTTCGGCAATTTTAAACCTGGAGAATCATTATATGAGACATATTCTGTAACTAAAATTATAACCGTTTGGAAGCGTTTGCATGGGTGCCGTTTCGAAATTTTAAAACAAAGCGTTTCTGACAGAAATGTTAAAGCAATTGAGGAAAAATTGTGGCTCCAATCCACGATGTGGAGGTGGTTGGACAGCGAAGCTGTAAACGACACCCACAACGATTACCCATTGCGACGTCACTTGAAAGTTCACGCACGAGGCTATACAAAGAGTGAAACCAGAGACAATTGGAATGTACTTAACCACACACTTTATTAGGGGCGAAGTTCCTTAAGGTCTAGCCTGAGATGTGGTAGTAACTCAAGAGCTGGGGTTTCTGTCATGGATGAAACGTTGCATGTAGCCGCTCAACGTCTATACAGGAGAGGGCGCTGCAGTCAAATACGTATATAATCGCGTTAAACTTTGCATGCGTTGGATCAACGTTTATAGACGAAAGGCCACTTCGGTCGAATGGTCAAACGCGTATATAACCACGTTTCATATCATAATTCTCTTTGTGACATGGACCGTCAACTTAAGCGGTGGGGATGCGTTCCCACGGCTTCTAGCGGATCCAAGCTGATCCGCTAGAAGAACCACTGCCTCTGCATTTCACCGACCATGAAGGAGTAATAATAAAGTCGAAACGACACCCGGAACTCAGCACTACTTATGAGCAATTAAAAAAAAAATCAGCATCATCAGCACTACCTATGAACAATAAACTCAGTATCATCAGCACCCCGAGAGCTTCGTCCTAATCAACATCACATCATTCACCACGTGGAGGTGCTGTCATTATTTCACTTCACAACGACATTCACGACTACTTTATGACCAGTGTGATGCACACTGAGATTTTCTATTTTCACTGTAGAGATATTTTTGCTAAGGTTCAATCAATGCATGATCCATGAATGGAGGTCGGTTGAGTTGCATTCTATAAGCACATGTTATATATAAAAGCGTGGTGACGTCACTACGTGATTTGTATGCTGTTTTTGTGTCCAATAACACACGCGAATTATACATGATATATAAGAACATATAACAACCACATAAGAACTATAAAATAACTATATAAGAGCTATATAAGAGATATAAGAACATACAAGCGCTATATAAAAAATTTGTGAGAGGTTTCTCATAACTGTCCTATATGTGTTTTATATATTTTATGCAGATCTTATATTGTTCTTCTATGGTTCTTATATCTTCTTATATATCCTGTATGAATCATATGTGTTTATTGGACACAAGCAATTTCTTATACAAATGACTGTTTTCGCTAGGTATATCATCTATTATGCAGTTTGCACTTCACGCGAGTGCTTCGACTGACGTCAAAGCCTTTCGAAGCAGCTGCAAACCTAATCTTTACTGAAACGCGTGGGACGGGGGTCCTATTTTTCACACGCGCCTTATCATCCATTATGTGCTTTTGATGCTTGTTTTGTGGTTTTCTTTATTGAAACGGATACTGAGCTGTGTGTTGTATGCTCGATTTCAAAGGGGATATGCTGTTTTGCCTTCATTTGTTCTCTGGGAGTTTTTGCTTACAACGCCTACGACACGAAAATTTCCTTGGCTGTAAAATCTTTTACAGCTTCGCTGTAAAAGATTCTATGAGGATGTGCCTGCCACCGTACTGTCAGAGTAAGTGAAAAACAATTAAGATGGCTGCCAAAACCAAACCCAATTTTTTTCTTGAAAATTTTTATAAATTAAAAGTAACTTTTCAACCCACAACGACTAAAATTTGAAATTATTTTTATTTCGATCCATCCATTATAGTGCTTCACTTTGCCGGTGTTGAATCGCTTGCCGACGCGTAGTAGAGTTTTGGTACACTGTCATCAAAGCTCAATGACGGCAGAGCATCTGCCCATAAAATGAGCAAGCTCTTGTCATATCCAGAAGACATCAGAGGCTTTATTATAGTTTCTGGTTATGAGACAGCTTCTGCACATCGCAGGGATCTCAAATATATTCTCAAAACTGTAGCGCACTTGCTATCCACCTGGTTTCTGGTCGATAGCATTCACCTCGACTCCCTTGTTCAATCAATTTGTCGTAAATTATTACGAGGTGTGAAGACGTCTTTTTTTCTTTCTGTCGAACTGAAAATCGCCTCAAAACCTAAGAATACAAAGCTAGCATCGCGTAGAATGTTTTTATGTTATATTTTATTTATTACAATTAGTAGTTATTGGGGGCTTACGAAACACAGGGTCCGGCTTATGATCGTCGTGATTCTTGCTATGTTAATGTCGCAATACCTACGGAGCGATTATAAAACGCCCGCTACTCCCCCGCCCTGCATTTTCTAAACTGTCATATAGTGCGTTCGATGTACCTGCACCTCCTGCACCAGTGCAGAAAAGTGTAAAGCGATGTGCTGCCGGTTGTATTTCAATACACACACCGGAAGTACACTGCTCTAGACTTCTCTGCACCGATGGCGGTAGGAACCTTCTGAAGGCTACATGACGCCATTACAAGTCAAGCCGTGGGAAAACTTCCGGTTTGGAGGGACCCGCCCCCAACGATGACCAAACACAAAAGACGCTTTCGGACGGATTTGGGAAACCTTGGTAACGTTCCCACCGGCCACGACCTCTACTTCCGGTTTCATTTGGGATTTGCTGATTTGGTAGGCATCTACCGGTATGTCCCCTCTTCTTATTCCTACCTCCATGTCTGCACCGGTGCCGGTAAATCAAACGAGCTAAGTGACTGTACAGAGGAAGACGATGTTACTGACATCTTTAAGAAAAGACATTGGCAGCGACAATTATATTCAAAGTCTTAAGCGGGCAAGGAGCCGGTAGAGGGGTGGCAGTGCTGCTCACGCAGTTTCTTGTGTTCACGCAGGTTATTTGTAG